CTCTTCTCTTTCTTTTTCCAGCTTCTTCTTCTTCTTCTTTTTTTTTTTTTTTTTTGTAAAAGCAAAACGAGGTTGAAAGCTTGGCGCGCCTGCTGTAGCAGCAGGTGTCGCCCACCTGCTGCTGGTGGGTGCAGCTCCCGCGGATGTTCCCTCGTTGGAGGCTTGAGCACGGACGTGGCTGCTAAAGGGGGTTGCCCGCAAATACTTTAATGACAAAGAAAAAGGAAAAAAGGCCTGAAAGGTCGTCCTGTCCAGATTCGAAAGGTAATTGAATTGGCTGGGCTTAAAAGAATTAGCTTTTATTAAAAAAAAAAAAAAAAAAAGCTTTGTAGGAAACAAGTGCCAGCCGCCGGCCGCCTGGTCGGAACACCACCGACGGATGCGTCGCCCTGCTGCTGTCGACACCACCGACGGATTTTTTTTTTCCCCAAATAAATTTAGACCATTTCTCGATTTATGCTTGTCATCCTTGCGCAGGGGCCATGCTTATCTTCATTCTCTTTCCCTGAAATTCCAATTTTAACGGATGTCCCGAAGGACAGTTTTTTTTTTATTTTTATTTTTTTTTTATAGCAGGAAGGATAGTTCGCCGATGGCCACGTGGCGCGCTACGAACTACCAACAACAACGTAGTTCCCTTTTAATGGATATTTCATCCCTTCACTACTCGAACGTTTTTTTTTTTGTTTTTTTTTTTCCTGGTTTGTTTGTTTGTTTTAAGCTAAGCTATATTTTTCTCTCAATTTCACCTAGCTTCGGCAGATTCACAGGGGAAAAAAGCAGCAAAAAAAGCAAAAAAAAAAAAAAAAAAAGAAACGAGAAAAAAGAAAAAAAATTCAAATGGATTACACATATGCCGATGTTTGCGAGGCCGGGTCATAAATTAGTGAAAAATAAATAATTTTACATTTTCTCGTCTAGTCAAATCTGTACTCGTTGAAATCAAGGATCTACTCTGAGCGACACTTGTCCTTAACTTCTTAATGCCTGGTGCTTAGCGGCACAGCGGCAATTATGGCCCCCCCGAGGCTTCATCCGCTGAGCTCAGGGCAGGGCGATTTTTTATTATCATTAATTTATTATTATTTTTTTTGTAATTGAAATCTCTTGAAATTCTGAGCGGCCTGAATTCAGTGAGGAAGGGGGGGCAATCTTCTCGGTCTGCCCATGTTCTGCTGAGAAAGCGCCATCTATTGCATAGCCAGCTGTCGATCAATTCGTTTCATTGATTGGTTGATTGATTGATTGATTGATTGAAAAGGAAGCCGGGAATCCCTCCACAAACAACCCGGAAAGGGTACTGGGACCATAGCCCAGCTTCGGTGCAGAAACGGGCTAAAGTAGGAACATACTGTAAATGGTCATTTCTAGACCGCTGTCCCATAAAGTCTTGAGGAGTGAAAGGCGGGCAGATGTTTGATTGTGATTATGATTAATGTGAAAATGTCCAGACACTCCCAGGGAGAAAAAAAGACAAAAAAAAGACGTAATCATCTGTGTACTACAGGTTTCCAAGCCCACATCGCTGTGCAGAATCGTACGGTCCACATGGGTTCTCGAATTCAATGAAGAAGACGGCGATGACATGCAGCGCGCGCAGATCCCGATAGCAGTGGCCGCACGTCTTATACTAATTAGTGATGTCATCAGTCTCCACCATCATGATGTCTGTCTCTACTCATCAACAGCTCTTAATTCATGATAGTAGTGTGTTCTTCTTACACGAGGGGATCTTCCGGCATGGGATCGCACGGTCGAGATCCTTGTCCCGTCGAGTCCCGGGGAAGAACCAGAGCTGGGATTCCATTCGGAACCGGGACTCGCACTGCCAGTCGGTCTTGGCATGCTCGCCGGGATCCGGACACGGGAAGATGTCCTTGCGGTCGAGATCCTCTCCTCTCAGAAGCGCCCAGCGGTGGTGCTTCTGCAGCACTGCCGTACGATTGCACGAGAGGACCGGGATCTGCGCCCTGCCGAGACCCGCCGCCGTAAATCACAATACACGAAACGTCGTCATGTTGGACCAGGTGGTGGTCCCCCACCACCGTTCCAGCGGTACCACCATGATCATCGGCGACCAGCTGGGCGCAGCCGCTTGCTCGCTCTCCCGCCCCGATCACCTCGCGGACGTGTCAGCTGCAGGTCGGGTTCCCGACGGACATAGGCGTCATCGTCAAAAGACAATCAGGCCAGGATCATTCGTTTCCAGATCCCGACCGCGACCGTTCTCTCGCGGCCCTGCCGATCGTCCGTCGATCACCTCCGCCGCGGCGGCAGGCGCTTCCGCAGCCGCCGCCGACGGCATCGGCGGAGACAGAAGCGGACCTGCTGATGATGATGATGACGTCAACAGCTTGAAGTCGACACGTGGCAGGTCCGCTCTCACCCCAGGGCCCTCCGCTGATGCTGCTGCTGCTCCTGCTGCTGCCGCGGCCGACGTGGTGATCGTCGGAGGAGGGATCGCAGGATTGGCCACAGCGTTGGCGCTGCACAAAGTCGGAATCTCGGCGAAGGTTCTGGAGAAAGCGCCGGGCTTGCGCGGAGAAGGGGCATCGATCGGGATATGGAGCAATGCTTGGCGCGCACTGGAGGTGCTGGGTGTCGCCGACGAGCTGCGACCGCACTCTTTCCAGATAGATAAGGTGATGACGTGGACACTATCCCAATCCACTCGTCGTCTCATCAGCTCCATGGATCTACGTGGCGGCGGTGGGAATAAGGCACCCCCCTCCTCCTCCTCCTCCTTCCTGGAATTGAGAGGGGTGATGAGAAATCGTCTGCTCGGCGCGCTTTCAAGGTCACTGCCACCGGACACGATTCAGTTCAACGCGGGAGTCTCCTCCATAAGGCAGGTGATACCCTCAGCAGCAGCAGCAGCAGCAGCAGCAGCAGTCGCAGCAGACCACTGGGATCCCGACTCTGCGACGAACCGCGACCGTGATCTCCGACAAACTCCAACACTAGAGGTCAGGTCGGAGGACGGCGCCACGTGGACGCCCAAGGTGTTGATCGGCTGCGACGGGATCGGGTCCAAGGTCGCATCTTGGCTCGGCCTGCCCAAGCCCGTGTATTCAGGCCAAATGGCGTACAGGGGGGTGGCAGAGTTTCCGTCCGGGATCCCGACGTGGGCAGGAAGAACACCGAGCGCTGAGGACCCTTGCTGGTGTTTCCAGCAGACGGTTGGGATCGGGATGAGGGTCGGGATGTACCCGATCAACGACAAGCTAGTCTACTGGTTCGTGACGTACAACAATCGCGACCAGAATGACGCGCCCCCTGCGGAACCATCAGCGCGAAAGGCGGCGCTGCTCGCGCTCCTGAGCGGATGGGAAGAGAGTGGGATCGTAGACACAGTGGAGAACACCAAGGCGGAGTTTGTCACACACAGCGTGCTTTCGGGGAGGTATTACCCCCCCCCTCTGCCAGGTGTCCGATGGGGCCGCGGATGTGTGACACTCGCGGGGGACTCCGCCCATCCCATGACTCCTAATCTCGGCCAGGGGGGATGCATGGCGCTCGAGGACGCCGTGGTCCTAGCTCGCCAGCTCGCAGCCTCAGGGGCGTTCCCATCCACGACGACCAGCAGGTTGAAGACGACGACCGGCACTGCTACCGGTCGCAGTACGCAGTCACGCACAGAAGAGTTCAACTTGATTGCTTCAGCCATCGAGAGATACGAGCGAGAACGGATCGTACGGACCACATTGATCACTTATAGATCATGGGCAGTGGGAGAACTCATGCAGTCCACGTTCGCTCCCTTACGCTTCTTCAGAGATGAAATTCTCCTGCCGTATGTGGTCAGCCCCAAGACGCTTAAGAGGACCACTGAGTATGATTGCGGAACACTAATTAGACCCTCGCAAGACTCGCGCCGCGCGTAGGACGTGGGCAATGCATACGTAGGACAGGATAGACTAAAGGCCCTCAAGCGCCAATCAATGTAAATTTTGTAAAAGATGAAATGGACTCCTCCCTCGTCGGACTCCATTGTTGGACTAAATGTTTGATAAAGAGAGGAAAAGGGGAGAAAAGGAGGTAACCGTTACGACAACGTTCAGAAAGCTTAGCCTACTTTATACAGCCGGCAGGCCAACTGGCCCAGCCAGGGACTTGATTGCGGTACTAGCTCTCTCTCTCTCTCTCTGGCCCAGCCAGGGACTTGATTGCGGTACTAGCTCGCTCTCTCTCTCTCTCTCTCTCTCTCTCTCTCTCTCTCTCTCTCTCTCTCTCTCTCTCTCTCTC